TGCCGCTCCCATCCACAGAGGACCCAAGCTCCACACCCACGTGCTCGGTGGAGTTCCGGCCCAGCCGATCTCCGTGCGGCTCCGGCGCATGGTTGGCCGGTCCCGGTAACGAAGCGATGGGGCTGCAGGAGGTGGCGGAGCCGGAGCCACGCTGGCTCCCGCGCTCGCACCCTCCTCCCGCACTTATCACCACTCACAGGATGTTTACAATAATTTCTAATTTGTGCAATTATTAATCATTTCTCTATCTGCCTCATTTGCATAATAATTACTGTGCTCGGCGCCTGCCGTGACGGTGAATGACAGAGCTCGAAATTCAATTAAGGTTTTCATACGCAGTTTTTGTGCTTAGAGCTCATCACAGTTGCTGCTCGGTGCCAGGACCGGGGCTGCTGTCCCTCCACAAGCACTAATAAAGAATCCACTTCCCAGTGGCAGTTGCTCTATCTCCATCTCCCCTCTCATCCCAGAGGATCCCACAGCATTTTCCAAGTCTCTGCTGCCAGAAGCGCTCAGATGCATCTTCCACTTCTGCATCACCTAAGCTGTCCCAGGCTCTCACTGTGCACAGACACAGAGCGCTCACTCCCAGGCAGGGCAGGCAGGAAGGCACGAGCTCTACCCAGGGCAGCACCTCCCACACTAAGGTGAATTTAGGAAGTCCACAGTATTTTGTTACATGTCAGAAGCAGAAAGGAGCATGTGTCAAATGTGGCACCTGCCCTTGTGCCACCCAGCAAAGAAGAGAGATCCGCTCTTGGGGTGCCCTGTTTGGCTGGTGCCCTGCAGCTCACACACAGCCCTGGCACCAACGGGCTGTCCATCACTGATTCCCCTCATCCCTCCTGCGGAAGAAACACCAGCACACAAAATCAACTACCAAAAAAAGCAAGCTGTTATTTCCAAGTGTACACACAGGTTCCAGGACTGCTAGAAAGGTAACACAGTGAATAAAAACCAGGGAAGGAAGCCCCAAATCCTCCAGCTCCAGGGAAGACTGGTCAGGGGAAGCACTTTAACACCCTCCTCATGTTTGCTTCCACAGGAAACTGCCCCCCAAAGAGTGCTGGAGGAGACTGGAGAGGATCCGCTCTGCAGCAACCATGTGTTCTACACGCCTTCAGCATGAAGAAAAACCTGAGATTTGGACACCTGAAGACTTGTGAACCGCCCTCAGAGGACAAAGCATTTGGCATCAAACAATTAAATAGAAAACAAATAAGTTCCTACAGTTTGTTAGAAGACAGACAAATGGCCCAGAAACCAGTGTCTCATGGGGAGCACCAGCGAGGGGAGCTGCTCCTGCAGGCAGCAGCCCCTGCACCTCCACCACTGTGCTGCCCCCAGTCCTCGCCCCTCTGGCTGACGGGGAAACCCCTTCTTTTGGCAGCTCTCCTCCATTCAGCCTCTCCTCTCGGAACAGGATCCGGTGGGATGCTGAGCGCCGAGGACAAGGCTTGCTCCAGGCGGAGCGAGCTGCTCCTCCCAGCTCGGGCCAGGCAGCAGCTCTGCAGCATCAATTCAGGAGCGGTGCTGTGCGCAGCTCTTCACCTGACCTACATGTCCTCAACGCTCCACTTGTAGGCGAGCTCCTGAACCGCCTTCTTGTTGGCTATCCTGGCAAAGCGCTGCTGCTCGAAGCCGTTGGACCTGCAAACACCACCAAGGAGCTGCTGGGCAGGAGCTCCTCTGAAGCAACCATGCTTGTTACAGGCAATCTGAGCTTGCCGCTACTTTGACTGTGGTTCTATCTCCGCCTCGACCTGCAGCAGCATCTCTGAAGCTCTGCACACCTTAGCTGACAGAACCAGCCCTTACTGCTGGCAACACCCTCATCAGCTGGTAGCTGCGAACCTTTACACCAGGAACTGTTTGAGGCAAAGCTCATCCATCTCCACTGCTGCTCTAACACAGCACTGCCTCGGGGACACGTACCTGTCCACGCCGTCCCAGCGGTGCCCTGGCCATATGTTAAACCTGTTGAGTGGAGGTGCTGGTCCGTTGTACCGAGGCTTTTCTAGGAACACAAAGAGCAACAGAAGCCGTTTAGTCCTTCAGTGCAACCACAGTCACATCATCATCACCTCAGAGGCACATCAGGCAGTGTGTGTACCAGCCAGCTCCAGCCCGCAAAGGGAAGTCCCAAGGAGACACTTAATCAAACTGGACTCTCCCAATTTTAAGTCAGGGGATCCCGCTCTCCAAGCAACAAACAGTAGTAACTCTTACTGGGAACAAGCCAGTTACATTGCTTGCTACAAACATTGCTGCTACTCTGACTCCAGAGAAATAGGCCTTGAGGACCAAGACGCATTTAAAGAGCAGCTGCATTTCTCTGCTGCCGGGGCCTTAAACCACAGACTGGTGTAACTCGGAATCAAACCTTTCTTTTCTTTGTTCTCTTTGGCCTTCCTTTTTTTGATGAAGTCAGCCATGGGGTCTCCCTCCCTCTCCTGCTCCCTCAGCATTCGATCCAGATCCTGGTCATCAATGTAACGGGCCAACGGCTTCTGCATCTCCTTTATGGCATCTTCTACGTTCTGCTGCTGCTGCCTCCCCTGCGCCAGCCTGGAAACAAGCACAAAACCAAGTCATCACTCACTGGGGGTTGCTCAGTTTGCAGGACCCCCCACAGCCCTGAACTTCCACTGCGTGTGCAGCATTCCCAATGCACACCCAGCCACAGAGGGAACAGCTGAGGGGGTCTCCAGTGCATGTGGAACACGTGGTGTCCCAGCCAGGCCCAGGCTCAGCACGCAGTGACACGCCACTGCTGGAAGTGAGACCAAAGAGCCCCGAGGCGGAGCTGGGAGCTGCGCAGACCCTTACCCCTTTCCCCATCTGGCATACTGCTCATCCCTCTCGGACTTGGCTTCAGCTTTCTGCTGCTGCTCCAGCCGCTCCTGCGCCAGGTCCCTCCTGCGGCCCGACTTGTCTCGGAACACGGTCTCGGAGTGTCGGGATTCCTCTGGACGGGACAGATGCATCAAGTCACACGTTCGGGAACACTTCCATGAACAACTGCCACTCTCTTCAGTGGTTTTCCCTCTGGCTCGTTCCAGCCTCTGACAGACTGAGAGCAGGAAGCAGGAAGCGAGCTGGTGCTCGTGCAGTGTTTTACGTCCCTACCTTCCAAGTGCTTGTTACTTCTCTCGTGCCTCCTGAGCTCCTGCTGTTCCCTCCGCAGCACATCAGCTGACACCAGGCCAGCTTTGACCCCCGAAAGCATCGTGTTTGCCTGTAAATCAAACAAAAGCCACAGTTAGTGCTGGTGAAGCAGTCCAGGATCCAGAGGTGCAACAAGCGCAATAGCTACCTTCTTGGGAGATCCCTTGGCATCACGGTGGCGAGGTGGAGAGAGGTCGGGGGGGCTCCCGGAGCGGTGCTGCTCCTTCCTGGCTGGCAGAGCCCGTTGGGGAGGGGACAAATCCGAGTCTGAGGACTGGCTGTGATTGTGTTTGAGAGGACCACGCTTCGGGGAGCCGCTGTGTACACGGCCCAGCCTGCGCTCTGCATCGGGGGCGCTCCGGGTGCCCCTCTGTGGGGATGGGGAGCTGGAGTCGTGCCTTGGGCCCCTCTGAGGTGAGGGAACCTGCTTGGGCTGTGTCATAGCTGGGGAAGCACCTGCAGAAAAGACACACACTAACTTAGGCAGAGTTATTCCCACAAAAGGGCTGAACACAGAGGTACATGAGATCAGCTCCTAGAAAAATCAAGCCCTCAAGAGGTGAGAAGCTGCAGGGCAAAGACATAATGTGACAAGGGCCTGGGAATTCTCTGAATCCTTGGGAACACGTGCTGCCTGGAGACGGGGTTTAAACTCCAGTCTCCTTTTGGACACGCTTAAGCCTTTGCCAGCTAACTCTTGTTAATTCTAGACTGGCTGATAGAAAACAGGATTACACAAACTAACTGTACCAACAGGAATGAGAACCTATCCACTACCATTCCATGCCTGCAGACTGCCAGTTCCACACCACTCCCCTCTCAGGAGCAAGCAAACATGCTCCCAGAGCAGGCAGGCAGAAAAGCACAGGACAGACAGGACAGACTCCTGCACACACTCACCTTTCGTTCTGCTCTGCTTTTTCAGGCTGGGCGACCCTGTCTTCCTCCTCCGGGGCGGTGAGGAGTCCGAGTCAGAGCTGTACCTGCTCTTCCGCGGAGGGGACAGGTCTGGGGTGTCCTGACGCTTCTGGCGTGGCCAGGACTTGTCAGAGACACCGTGTCGGGGCTGAGGCTGCTCCCCCGGGGCCCGTCCTGACTGTGCCTTCTCTGGGGCTTTGCAGCCCCTCTTCCCTGCTGCTGCACTGGCCCTCTTGGGAGACACGTCCGGGGAATCGTGGCGCTTCCTCCTCGGTGGTGACAGGTCGGGGGAATCGTGGCGCTTCCTCCTCGGTGGTGACAGGTCGGGGGAATCGTGGCGCTTCCTCCTCGGTGGTGACAGGTCGGGGGAATCGTGGCGCTTCCTCCTCGGTGGTGACAGGTCGGGGGAATCGTGGCGCTTCCTCCTCGGCGGTGGCAGGGCGGGGGAGTCGTGGCGCTTCGT